TTGACAAAACCTTAAGCTTGATTGTTTCCTTATGGACAGCATTCCAGCACGTGCTTCACAGTGTTATACCAGATGTGTTGATGTTGTTTCAGTAATAGCCATTTGAATCCAAGGAAAAGACAGTAACAGTTGCAAGTGCGTTATTCCAAGACTTTATCTTAATGTACAGGGGAAAATAAGAAAGAAAATGTTTCTTCACAGACTGTTTGCTGGGTTTTGAATATTTTTAGCGAGTGATGAATGCTTCAATCACAATGTATTTAAGAAGCGAACAGCCTGACGGGCCTGACGGTTGCCTCTCAAAATTGCACGAATAAAAAAAATATCTGAAAACTGGCGTTTTCCACGATATTTCTTAAAAATAATTCTTCTCATGGATAGATAGATAGATAGATAGATAGANATCTCATATTCGGCCCGTGCTTATAGTTTGAAAATATCTATTTCGTGATATTGGCGTGAGAGCCTACAGTTATCAACTGAATCACAGAAAAAAACTATTTTTTTTTGTAAATTTTGAGTGAGTGGAACTTAAAAAGAGAGCAAAACAAGTCAAGAATGTCAATCAAATCGAGTCAAAGTTTCGATCATTTCTATTTTCCCGCGCTCATATATTGGTTTGACCAAAAAAACATTACCCCTCTCCTTTATCAAGTTTGCATAGAAGCCTAGTGATAAAGACAAGAAGAGAGAGAGTTAGGAATGACAGCATCTTTCTATCCTGGAGTGTATTGGAAAAAATAGCAAAAGTTCTCAATCCCTGTGTCATTGGCTTGTACAATAACGCTTTTCGTAGGCTTGTACCTTATCGATGAATAAATATAGAAACCATGTTTTTTTATTCGAGTATCTGCGGTTAACTACGTATAAAACATGGTAACAAAGATTGTCCCATCGTTATTTGTCTGCTTTGGTAAAACAATAATGGAAAGGTTTTAAAAACAAATAGTAATTTTTCAAAGTCAACAGTTATAAACTGCAGTACAGAATAATTCATTATTTCAAGGAATGGTCAAAATTTCTACTTAGCAGAACTTAGAGAGACATCAAAGTAAGTCCAGTATTTTAGTTGGAATGAGTTAAAGGTTGGGGCCGAGAAGCTAAGGCATGCGAAGCGATGAAACACGTATGCGCTTTTTTTCTTTTCAAAATTGAATTTTTCTTTTAAAACACCAGGAAACGTCGAGTTCTGAATTACAAAATAAGGGATATCCTGTAAAACGCTAGCTAGTTGTCAGACTCTTTTTTTATCCAATGATCAGCTGTAGTGGGAAGGTGAAATGTATCAATTTACTTCAAGCTGTTTTGATTCTGTCTTGGAAGGATATTGAACTGGCTATTGGGCTATTGGGTATCTTGGGGGGAACCCATTGAACTGACTGTTAAGAGGTTACTGAAGTGTTTATGTCTATCCTGCGACTCGTAAACAGCACGTCAATGACATGCGCAGTTCTAATCTTAGAAATGCTATGAAAGGAATCGTAGCAAAGGTGTCATTTGGAGTCTCGTAAGACATCAAGAACAACTTGTATTACCCTTGGCAAGCAAAGGTAAGAAAAATTCTTTACCAAGATAGCTGGAAACCAGTAGCCTACCATTTGGAGACGCACACGATATCAGTTTTAACTTTCTCAAGCTAACTGTAATTAGCCAACTCCTTCCCACAAATATATTAACTTGGTTGAAAGGGTTCGTTTGGCAAATTCAAGACTGTTACTTTCCTCGAAAGCTCATTTCTCGAGGTTTTAATAAAGAATTCTGACGGATATTTAACCTCAAAAGCTCGTCAGCACGAAAGTGGGACTTGAATGATTTGAAGGGGAAGAAATCATTCGTGGTGAACGTATTTACATCTGTTGTGATATTTTCATGTAAATCTAATCCAGGTTTGACCATCATGTCTATCAAGTTGTACACCTCACAAGGTCTGAGCCAAGAGTTTTCAGATTCAAACCAGAACCTAAAGGGAGATGGTGTTGAATTCACAAGAGCCGTTGTTACCTATGGAACTTGGATCCTCTACACTCATACAAACTACAACGACAAAGAATTTGGTGCTGGTCCATCTAACCACAAGGTTCTCCAGCCTGGAGCAGATGTAAACATCTCATGTGTGAATGGCTCCATGTATCTCCTTGAGGACCAAGTGGAAGGAATCATTCTGTTCGAGCACAGTAACTACGGTGGAGAAAG